CAGTACTTGCTCAAATAAGTTTCTTGCTTCGATGCCAGTTTAAATCTTGATTAGTATCAGATTTATCCGATTTATTAGGTTAGATATTTTGGACAACGCTGTAAACTAATGCTGCGATGACAAACAAATGGCTCAAACAAATCCCTCGATGTTCAGAGAGATAGGCTCATTCTCCCGTCAATGAGCAATCCAATAATACTTTCAGCGCTTTCTTTTCGAGCTGTAATATTGATTTTATTGAAGGCATCGCTTATGTATGGCTTTGGCTCACACACTGGCAATGGCAAGTCGGTAAACAAACAAAACATAACTCATTGTATTTGCTGAGAGGCCATCGGTAACCATTTGCCCAATCACAGTTGTAGGTTTTTCGGTAGTTGCCAAGAGTGACGCAATTGCTGTATTTGGTTTGGCGTTGTGTGAACGGCAGTTGGAGTCATAAGCCACATAAAAGCCAAAGTAATAACGCTTCTTTCTGGTTAATTCAATAAAGAGTTTGGAACGTTGGAGATGAAACTGATTATTAGGGGAGATGATGAGATGAGATGATTAGGGGTGTGCAAAAATATTGAAATGTTGATATATATAACACCTTATTATTATTATTATTATTATTATTATTGTTGTATGCGTGTTAGTTTTATATTTTGTTATGTCTGTCTTGCTGTGGATGTGCTGGGTATCTAATCCCTCAAACTTGACAAATTATTTTAAAAAATGTTTTAAAAAAAAGAAATGTCGATATATCGTATCATTTAATGTGATCATACAGTATCGATATCAGGGACTGCTGTATCGATATCTCCAAGAGTATTTTTTTTAATATATTTTACTAAATAATTTTGACATATTCACTGTTTTTACGATTAAAATGTTTTTGTTTCATATGAACTTTGCACAAGAAGTGGTTTAACGAAGACTTTTAGTATCACAGCCACAGTTTAGACATTATTTTTTATTGAACTATATCAGATCGATTTGAAATATATCGTATTGAATTGAAAGTGTGCTATATCAAAGTATGTATCATATCTCAGCCTACGTATCGAGGTATGTATCGTATTGGCAACTTCTTAATGATACCCAGCCCTAGTCACGATAACACATTTTTAACAAATATAGAAAGCAGAATTGGTCCCCAAAAACTATTCTAAATGTACAATATTGTTAAAAAATGAGCTGCAATAAATCAGTAGCAGAATGAAACACCGCTTAAGTAGTTGTGTGGGTTTATAATGAGACATAGAAGTTCATAATTCATCTTTCTACAACTCAAATCTCGTTGCAGTACAGAAAAATAACCAAACAAATTCCCAGTAGTACAAGAAAAAAGTACCTCCCAAAGTGATTGTCCCATTTATCATTTATTAGAACGAAAAGTTGATATAGTATTTGTCGTGACAGGCCTAATATTGAGTAGTGACAGTATAAGAGCAAAGAAATTGCATAAAATAAATAAATACAATAAAAAAATAAAATATATATATAAATAAAAAATATATATATATAAAATAAATAAATACATATATAAATAAAAAATAAATAAAATAAAATAATAAATACATAAATAAAGGTTGTCTGTAAAGAAAATGTATAAAAATAGGCCTGAAAGAGATTGTGAGTGTAAAGAGTCACACATATAAGGATTTTGTATTTGTAGATTTGTTTTTTTAGCTACATAAGGCAAAGTAATTCCACATTTCATTCTCTAGTTCCACTACCTTTCCACCTTGAGCTTATATCCGCAGCAGTGGGGAGTGTAAATTTATCGAGGTCATTTAGCAAATGTGCCAAGAGTAAGAACTGAGGCCGGATCAGAGGAGTCCACCTGCCACTGCGCCCCGTGATCGACCCGGAGGCTACACTCTACAACTGTTTCCATACAACAAAGTGCGCACACAAGAGCTCCGTATTAGCCGCCGACCTCTGTTCTTGTTGACATTGAAACGCAGCATTAGCCTATGTAATGGACTGACGCTAATGGCCAGTGCAGAGCGGAATTAAATAAAGCATCGGAGCGCCCCGTGCAGGTTATAACCACTAGGTTTGTCTTCTTCAAAACGGCTTTGAAACTTGACCCGCAAGATGTTTGCTGGCTACGAAGATTGTACGTGAGGCTATGCGAGTGCAGCCTTTCTTTTTTCCAGAATGGAGTCCACGTATTATATAATTCAACTCTATCATTTACAGGATATTACTCTATGTACTTTCATCCACGATTGTCCCAGAGCAAACATGCATTGCCAATTCACGGTGTTTGCATTGTATTTACAGGCTTGATTAAAAAATACTGATTTAACTACATAAACATTAGCCATTAGTACTTGAATATGTGAATATCAGCTACTTAAAAGTGCAGTATGTAACTTTTCTGGTGGATATTTTGCCATCTTCATGCTTTACTTCTTGTTATTCAAGGTTCAAGGTTCTTTATTTGTCATTCAAACATGCGAGAGAAACACATGACAGAACGAAATGTGCTCCCTGAGGCCCAGTGATCCAGAAAGACATAAAAACAATAATAAATAAGCAATAATAAATAAGCTTTGCCTTAATGTTCCACAGTCTCTCTTAGGGCTGAGTATCGTTAAGAAGCTGCCGATACAATACATGCCTCAACACAGTGAGCTTTTGATTTACAATTACGATTCGATGCATTTCAAATTGATTCTTTGTGGTTCAATAAAAAATAATGGCTTAATGATGGTGGCTGTGATACTAAAAGTTTTTATTAAACCACTTCTTGGGAAAAGTTAATGAAACACAAACATTTTACTCATTAAAACGGAGAAAATGTCAAATGTGTTGGATAAATAAGTTTCCTTTCTCTAAACGAGCAACAAAACTGTAGCTCTGTAACAAAATGATTTAGTAAAATTTACTAAAAAATGCTCTTGGAGATATATTGATACAGCAGTCCCCGATATCTATACTGTACACATTAAACGATACGATATATCGATATTTCAATCTCCAAAACAATTAACCTTATTTCAGTTATGTCTCCAATGTTCCAAAGTGTTTATTGATGAGTTTAGTACAGTAATTTAGTAAAATATACCAAAAAATACTCACAGCATCACATTAGGCGATACGATATATTGATATTTCGTTGATTGATATTAAGTTTGGCATAGGAAAGAAAAACAATGAAAAATACCGATTAACTACGTTAGCACTTGGACATCTTCTTGCTTTTCTTCTTGTTATTGCTTTGGCTTAATGTTCCACAGTCTCTCTTGGGTATCGCTGAGTATCGTTAAGAAGTTGCCGATACGATACATGCCTCAATACATAGGCCACGATACATATCTCTGTGCAGTGAGCTTTCGATTCTATACGATTCGATGTATTTCAAATTGATTCATTATGGTTCAATAAAAAATAATGGCTTAATGATGGTGGCTGTGAAACTAAAAGTCTTTATTAAACCACTTCTTGGGAAAAGTTAATGAAACACAAACATTTTACTCATTAAAACGGTGAAAATGTCAAATGTGTTGCATAAACAAGTTTCCTCTCTCTAAACGAGCAACAAAACTGAAGCGCTTTAATAAAGTAATTTAGTAAAATATACCAAAAAATACTCACAGCATCATATTACACGATACGATATATTGATATTTTGATATTTTTGCGCACTCCTATTCACTGGGTAGTTACAACACTTAAATTTGGCATAGGAAGGAAAAAAACATTGAAAAAATACTTATTAACTAAGTAAACATTTTCCATTATCAATTCTATCTGAAGCAGCTACTTAAAGGTGCAATACGTAACTTTTCTGGTGGATAGTCTACAATCTTCTTGCTTTTCTTCTCGTTATTGCTTTGTCTTAATGTCCCACAGTAAGACTTTAAACATCTGTATCTTGCATTTATTCAACTATAGCTGTGTTTTTATTGCAGAACTTGGAATAGAACTTCGAGAAACAAGCATTCCCTTTTGTGAATTTGGTCGCCTCTCCACAGATCTGATTCTGACTCCTACAGATGAACTAGCGCATAAATCTGTCTGTGAATGCGCGAGTGGTTCCTTGGAGTAAAGTGTTTTGAGTGTCTTGGTGGAAGATGTGGAGAAGCAGTATATAAAAATGTCTATTTACTAGGGATGTAACAATATCAAAATCCCACGATACGATATTTTCACGGTTCGATATTTATCACGATATTTTGTTGAGGTTTACAAACATGTGAATATGCTACTTCCTTTTAAAAGCCTTGGAAAAGCCTTGGAAAAGCCTTGAAAAGCCGTCGGTACAGTCGTAATATGAAGAATTAAGACATAAAAGTGCTTAATAACCGTTGTTTCTTCATTTAGTCTGCATTGACAACACCAAAGGATCATGGTCTATGTAGTTCCATGTGTTTTTTTTAGCTATTACTGCACCACGATGAGGCAAATTCATACACAAAGTAATTCAAAGTGCTTTACAGAATAAAAAATACGTTAAAATCGCAAAGAAAGTCATTAGAAAGCCACCATAACTATTCATTAAAGCAAAGAGACTGGTAATTCGATATGTTGCGATGGCCTCTGATATTATTGTGAGACTTTTGACGAAACAAGATCACGATATTCCCTACTATTTACCATCTTAAACTTGGCCAACTCTTCCCCGTGGATTGACAAGTTTAATGTGCACAGTTCACTTTTAACATTTGCTCTTAATATAACAACGCATTTGCCTTCACTGTGAGAAAATGCACTTTCTCATGCACAGCTGACGGACAGTTGGTTACACAAGGTATTCTGAATATCGTACCGAATTCCTGTACTCGAAGTCTTTTATCTGTTGCCCAGCTGTTTCCTCATCTGTCACTCTCCCTATAGCCTCCATACAGTATCTCCCCTTCTGTTTGTGTTGCCTGGCCTGCGATTACGTAATGCTGGCTGACTGCTGGTAGTAATCCCCTTCTCTCTCTCTCTCTCTCTCTTTCTATCCTCTCCTCCTCCCCCATCCCCCTCTTCCCTCTCTCTCTCTCTCTTTTATCAAACAGGTTAAAGGCGTAGAGGACTAGCCGCTGGTCTCTGGAGGTTAAAGATGTGCGATGGGACCATGGGAGCCCTGTCCTCCTGGCAGCAGACCGCCCACCGCCTGACTGCCTCGGCTCTGCTCCTGCTCTGCGCCCTGCTCCCCCACGGCCACGCTTCAGGTAAGAAACGAGCCGTCGCTTTCGGGTAAAGCGGCGCCTTGATGCGATTTGGCGTGGAGAGACGGAAAGTTGTGTCACTTTTCGGTAAATTGTGGTCTGGTTTTGGAGTTGGAGGAGATGATCGGGTTGGTGTGTGTGTGTGTGTGATAAATAGTGACGTCATAGAAAAACTCAGCATGGTCTTTTTGAGTAAAAACACTGGTGGAAATAATGACTGTGAATTATTTTGAGTTGCTAAAAATTAAAGTTATCATTGAAATTATTTTAAAAACTATATAAAGTTATGTATTTTCCATTAGTACATTAAAGATGGGCTGTTATGCAAACTTTTGGGAGCTTTCTACCATGTTATAATGTTTTATATAAATGTATCTGAAGAGGTTTTATGTTACCCGTGCATGTTTCAGTACAGTATTTTTTGGACTAAAAGTTGCTCCGGAGTGTAAGTCGCACCAGCCAAAAAATACGTAATGAAGAAGGGAAAAAAAACACATGTATAAGTCACACTTTTTGGGGGAAATTTATTTTATAAAATCAGAGACCAGGAACAGACATTTAATCTTGAAAGGCAAATTATAGTAAAAAACAGTACAATAGAGAACAACACTCTGTTAATGTCACATATGAACAGTTCTTCAGATAACTATAGCATAAACAACAGAACAAGTTTACCAAACTCTCCATCTCACTCCAAATCACTAAATCCATTCAATTCTTCATCCTCGGTGTCACTTCTGAGCAACTCCGTGACCTCCGGAGGTAAACAGAGCACCGCTTCCTCTTCTGTGTCGCTGTCGTCAGACTCAGCATCAGTTCCAGTTAGAATTATTCCGGACTTTCTGAATCCCGACAGGATGGTTTCGGTGTCACTGAAGTCACTTAAATTTTCAATTTTCAGCGGTACAGAAGTAATAGTGCGATCGACTGACATGATACAGACAAGACAGTGGCTCTTTCTGCAGGAGACATGCACAGTAGGAGCAGCAGATATTGGCACACAAGCCTAGAGCCTCTCGCAGCTGTCAGTGTGAAAGTTTTTGTATATAAGTCACACTGGAGTATAAGTCGCAGGACCACCCAAACCATGAAAAAAGTGCAACTTGTAGTCAGAAAAATTCGGTAATTTAGCGACGTATCTCTCTCAGGCACTTTCATACTTTTGTTGCGGGTAGTATTTACGATCCTATCCAAAAAAATACTAAACTGTAACTTATAAAATATTTTCTACAAATATAGCATTTTCAAAAACAATAAACTCTTGACTTACAATCCATAGTTATGTTCAAAATCTTTGTAATCTTGGATGGTGGTTGTAAAAAAGTAGTTTCTGAATGTCCAGGTGATTCAGTCACATGTCGTTCCTCTATTATGGATGCCACTTGAAGACCTTTTGTACTGTGTTTATATTTACTGCCAGTCTTAATTGTACTTCACTTTAATCTTTCGATGATAGCCATAATTGCCGACTGTTTTTGTAAATGACATTGCCTGATAAGTATCGAAACTCTCCTGTGAGCAGTCGGATTTTCTTCCCAGTCTCTCTTTCTCCCGCTTCCCTTTTCTTACGAGATCTCTTTGATTAAACGCTCTTGCTCTACTCTGGGGTCACTCGGGTTTCTCTGTACCTCTAAGGACAGATCCCACTCCCACCACTCCACTGACCGCTGCTCTAATGACTCACCTCGCCCCTCTATCTCCACCATCGGGAGAGCAGGGGAGGATGCTGTTTGCGGTCACGCTGCTGTCATAAGGTTTTAATCAGCGCTGACATTTGGAGTCCTGGGAGGCCCTTTAACGCGGCTTTCGGCTATTACCCCTCACCGGAACAGGATCGGGTCTAGTGTTTCAGCTCAGATCCCGGGCTTATTATCTGTGAAATGGCAAACTGATTCGATTGTGTGGATTAGTGTGGCCACGTTTGGGAATTGAAGTCATTCTAGGTTAACGTGTTTCTTTTATGTAGCGACTTGTACGGCGGTGTTTTGTTCCTGTTCTCAGTAAAGAATGCCCAAGTTGGAGTAGAGTATTGTGGTGTTGTCACGATACTAACAACAGACGATATTTCCAACATTAAAGGTCCTATATTACTAAAAATTGACGACTTGTGAGCTTTAAGTTACGTTATAATGTTGTTACCTCCTCAAAAACAGACCTGGAGTTGTGTTTTGTTTCATACACACGTGTTTGAGTAATACTTTATTATTAGTCTGTTTACATCCCCAAACTTGAAACACTCTGTGCCACCTTGTGATGTCATGTAGTGGTAGTTTTCATGTTAATAGTTACCTTTTACCTTTAGTTCTGTAGAAAAGTTTGAGTTTGAGAGAAGAAATCAGCCTAAATATGCACGATTTGTGTGTTAAATATGTCAATAAAACAAAACCGTTTTTGGTGAGGAAACATTTGCCACGTTTACATGAGAGCTTTAATTCCGCATAAAAAGAATTTAATTCTGAAGAAAAATGAATTCCGCTTTAAATTGACCATGTTAACACTTAATTCCTACTGAAAATGATTCGGAATTGAACTTAATTCCGAAGTAAGTGGGTGTTTTTTTTTCCGATTTTAAAGCCGAACTAATTAATTCCTCGATCTTGTAAGCATTTATTCTTTATTCTTTAAAATAATTCCGGTCGTTCAGCACATGCTCATTGGGTCACCTTTCTGACGCGATCCGGCTCCACCAGTCCCCACTTCGGACTTTCCTCCACGTCTCTTTGGATTTGCGAGCGGGATGCGGGAGTGGGCTGAGGTAGAGCAGCCGTTGACTCAGTTCGTCTTCTTCCTCCCTTCTCCGACACTCTTCCCTTCTCCTCCTCAGATGACAGACGTAAAGTGTGATGAGAGAATTCTCGAGCTGCTGCTTTGTTATCATGGGAACGACTGCGAAAAAAGTTTGGATCATGTTTGTGTCTGTGGCGTAATGACAAACTGAGATGACAAAAAAGCCGGTAGCTGCAGAAGTGTGTGTTTTCTTTCAGTAGACGTTAATACTTTCTGTCCAATCAGAACCCTTCCCCACCCCCAGACGTTTAGTGGAATTAAATAAAAGCGATTTAACGTGTTTTATTTCCACGTAAACGTATTTTAATTCAGAACCATTCATTTGGAATTTAAAAACATCATGTAAACGTGGCCATTATGATACACAGATCAGAAAACAGCCTAATATGGGCCCTTTAAATAATAGTTCTAGTGCTTGATGTGATCCTTTTTGTTTCGATACCAGCATATCTCATTCCGATACTAGTCTTAGAATCAGTTAGCATCTTATTTTCGATACTTTTGACAGCCCCAGTGCATAGTTCTATTTTGGTGTTGTCGAGTTTTCAATAGTAGCACTCCGGTGTCAGCGACTTAGCATGTTGTCAGAGTGAAAATACTTGACATCCACCTGTGAATTAGATCATTATGCAACTGCGAAATGATGCATTGCTTTGCTCTGATAACGTGTCAGCCCGGACTGGCCAATAGGAGCGGAGCGGTTTGTTGAAGAGAAGTGGGAGGGGGGGGTCTAAAGGTTCATAACAAAACATCTGAGAGGCATCGAGAGGTTCAGATTTACCGTCAATTATTCGCCGCAAATGACTCATGCTGGTTTACACAATTCAGACCTTTTTCGGCTCACATCAGTACAGACACGCAGTTGTTTCTTGGCTTTGTATGTTTTGCAGCCCTTAATGCCTTTTAAGCTTTTTGCAAAGACGATGTAATTCAGTTTGGAGTTTCAACATTTGCAGGATTCAAACCCGTATTACACTATTTTCTGATCTGTTATAATGTGTCTCATAAAAAAAAAAAAAAATAAAAAAAAAAAACAGACCTGGAGTTGTGTTTTGTTTCATTCACACATGTTTAACACCGAACACCTGCAGATTTAAGCTTCTCCTCTCAAACAGACGAACGCTCCACTGTGTTTTTAAACTCCATACACTTTCACTAGAATCATTTGGATAATTTCAGACCTGGAATTTCTAATTTGTACTAAACAAATGGTGAAAAGTTGCCGTTAACTTGAACTATGGCTGGGTATCATTGAGAAGATGATGATACGATATATATGTTCGATTCAATACAATTAGGGATGTAACAATAACCGAAATATCTTGATATCGTATCGTCAAAAGTCTCACAATAACATCGTGGGCTGTCACAATATATCGAATCACAAGTTCCTTTGCTGAAATGCACGGTTTTATAGTCGAAACAGCTTATAAACATCGGGAACTACATATCCCATGATTCATTTCAGTGCAAAGAACATGAAGAGATATGTTTTTTACTTTAATTCTTGGGATTATGACGGAAATAATCACACCAAAATCTTGTCAAGGTATTTTAAAAGCAGAAAAAGTGTCCTATCTACAATTATATCAGCCTCTCCAAAATATCGCAATAAATATTGTACCGAGAGATTTGGATATCGTTAAATCCCTACAATACAATCGATTTGATACGGTTCAATAAAAAACAGAGGCTAAATCATGGCTGTGATACTAAAAGTCTTGTTGTTAAACCACTTCCTGTGCAGAGTGAATATGAAACCTATTTTAATCAACACAACAGTTAATGTGTCAAATGTGTTGCATAAACAAAACAAGTTTCCTTCCTCCGAACAAGCAACAAAACTATAGCTCTGTAACAAAATAATTTAGTTAAAAATACCAAAAAAATACTCTTGGTGATATATCGATACAGCAGCCCACGATATTGACACTGTATAACCACATTAAACAAAACGATATATCGACATTTTGATAGTTTTGCATCAGAGGAACAGAGAACTTGAACTTTTGGGGATGTGGAACAGACTAATAATACAGGGTTCCTCAAACACTGTTGAATGAAACAAAACACAACTCTGGGTTTGTTCCTGATGAGGAAACCACATTACGTCATGACTTAAAGCTCATGAGAGGCAATTTTGTGTAATTTAGGAGCTTTAATCCAGAAATTAGTGTATTAAGTCTTCTGTAATGATATGCACTTCTTTCTTAGGC